GCACGAGTGGATCGACTTGATTTTCGGCTACAAGCAACGTCCACCGCTGTTTGGAGGCACAGCCCACGCCGTCGACGCGTGCAACGTGTACTTTCACCTGACGTATGACGGCGCCGTCGACCTCGACAAGCTCGAAGCCACCGACCCGATGTTGTATGCAACGACGTTGCGGCAAATGGACTGTTTTGGTCAGACCCCGTCGCAGCTCTTGCTTCGCCCGCACCCGCCGCGGTCGCCGTCGACCGATACGATTCGTCCATTGATCCATGTCTCGCAGTGGGTCGGCCACCCGCGGGTGCGCGGAAGCCGAAGCCGACGTCCTGTCTTGTGTCTTGCGCTGGCCGACGAGGCGGTCGTGGCGATCGATGCACGCCGACGACTGAGCTTGCACAAGTGGAAGGCGCTACCGCCCGACCACGAGCCGCCCTTTGCATTCGCGTCAACGCCCACGTCGACGCATGTGCTCGGAGGCCCGTTTGCGACACGCGCCGTGACGACGTACGCCGAGTCCGCCATCGCGCTGTCGAGCAACCTGTTTGCGGTCTATGGCAAGCACGTCTTCTCGGCCGGGCACTGGGACCACAGTGTTCAAATCACTCGACTCGTCGACGGCAGTGGGTCGGAGAATGGCCAGAGCGTCCGTGGGCACCACGACGTTGTGACGTGCGTCGCCGTGAGTGAAGACGGCCGTGTCCTTGTCAGCGGCTCGTCCGACAACACTGTCATGGTACCTCGCTTGTTGTGGATGGCGTTGAAAATATTTTCTTGTAGGTGTGGCCGCTGCTCTGGCGTGACAAAATATGCGAGCTCCGCCGGACGCCGAGCTTCGTTTTGTACGGCCACGACGACGGCGTGACGAGTGTTGCGGTCTCGAGCGACATGGACCTCGTCTTGAGCGCCAGTCGTGACGGCACCATCATTGTGCATACGCTGAGCAACGGCCGGTACATTCGCACGCTGCGCCCGGATGCCTCGCGGCATGCACGCTTGACGTATGTCGGACTCAGCACTTATGGGTCGATTCTGACGTACTGTGATTCGAGCTCGACGCTGTATCGGTACTCGATCAACGGCGACTGCCTCGCGTCGCGGGTCGTGGATCAGAAAGCCCAGGCGTTTGCGCTGACGCAGGTAACTCCCGAGTTTGTATCAAGTTGATACTACAAGTGTAGGCCGGTGACGCGATTCTACTGGGCGGGCGCGGCCAGACGATCACCGTCTACCGTGTGCACGACCTCTCGATCCAACGCGATTTCGATGGCAGCGACGAGACGCGCGGGCTCAAAGCGTTCCAGAGCCCGATCCACGCGCTCTGCTTCTCGAGCAACGACATGCATTTGCTCGTCGGCCTTGGCAACGGCGATGTGTGCGTCTTCACGCCAGATGCGCAGTACCTTCGCGACCGGCTTCAGACCAAACTCACAGATCTTGGCTTCTAGTTCGTTCATAGACAGTATCGTTCGTGTGCACTCAGGCTTGTGGTCGTCGATTTCTTGATCGATATGTTGGCCAATCATATCCAAGTTGTCAACAAAGGTGGTCAATGGATGGGTTGGCGCGCGCATGCTCACGCTCCATTTGGGGTGTTTTCGAATCCCTTTATCACAAAACCCCATCAATTAAGAACCGTTAGTATTGATCAAGACTACAACTACCGACGGAAGGACTGTCAGACGCGCACCATGATGGTTGTCGGACTTTCTCAGCGTTGCCAAATCCGTTACGGCCAGTTTCGCGCCACCGCGTTGGAGGCATGACCGGACCCCGGACCCCCAACAGCGATGACACGACACGACTCAAGGCAGACGTGCTGCGGGCGTCCGAAATGCCAGGCCCCCGAGCCCTTGGTCGGGCCAAGACGGCCCGTGTCACGTCTGGTGAGGTGCCGACGTTGGAGCCGCAACCCCTCAGTCGGGCCAGGACAACTCGCTTCAACAAGACGATATTTACCAAGCCGACAACAGACGCAGTGCAGTCCCTCACCAAGCCGCAGGTGACGGACCACGACTTTCAATCGACCATGGGGGTGATCCTTCCGGCGCGCTTTTGCGGCCTCGAACCGATTCATCCCCACTCGACGTTTATGCGCAACTGGGATGTGCTCTCGATCGTCCTCCTCTTCTACACGGGTGTGTGTGGCGTCAGCGACTTGGGAAACTCATGACCTTGGTAGCGGTCATGACGCCCTTCGAGACGGCGTTCTTGACACCAGGATTCGGCACACTCTTCGCCCTCAACACGCTCGGTAGAAATTTCTGTGTCCCCACCCGAGTGACGTGGGTGGTTAGTCGATCTGTGCTTCTTCCTCGACATGCTTCTTCGCTTCTTCCTCGTGGTACGCACGTCATCGACGTTCTCTACAAATCGATTGATGAACACATTGTCCAGTATTTTGACGCAAACAACAACATGTGGATCACGGACGCCAAGCTCATTGTCTACCACTACCTCCGTGGTTGGTATGGACGAGATGATACGAGCTGGGTGGCGTCTTATCGCCGTCCGTAGGTTTCTTATTGACTTTGTCTCGGTGCTTCCGTTCAACACAATCGGGCTCATGGTCACCGCGCCAGCGCTGGGTCGGCTCCGATTTATGCGCATCCTTCGGCTCTTTCGCCTCATGAAGGTCGTTCGCGTTGTACAAGGTACGCGTCGATGCCTCGTAGGTTTATGCCATTGAACGCGTTTTAGATGCAAGCGTCTTTCGGTACTGGGAGGTCAAAATGAGTATGAACTACGCGACCCTGAGCTTGGCCAAGTTTTGCTTCTTCGTCTTTATGATCGCACATTGGGTATCTATCATCCTCGGATCGATTCGGATCGTACGATTGGATAAGCGTTTTGTGTAGATTGCGTGCATGTTTCGCGCGGTCGCCGACTTTGAGACCAACTTGGATGCCAATGGAAACCGGTACAACTGGCTCACGGTCCACTACATGGGCACGGACGCGCTCATCGACTGCGAAGTGCTCGTGCAATATGTCACCGCACTCTACTGGTCCGTCATGACTCTCACCACGATCGGCTACGGCGATGTGGTACGTGTGCCTCCATCATCGATTCCATGAGCGTGAGACGTCTGAGCAGGGCCCTGCGACGCCCAGTGAGCGCGCGCTCTCGATCGTGTGCATGGTCCTTGGCGGCGGCACCTACGCGTACGTTGTCGGTGGCGTCTGCCGCATTCTAAGTGCGATGGACGCGGCCACGTCCGAGTTTCACCAGACCATCGACACGCTCAACGAGTTTTGTCGCCACAACCGATTGCCGTCGGACCTCTCGTCGCGGCTACGGGACTTTTTCTTCTCGTCGCGATCGCTCCTGCGTGAAAAGAAGAACCGGGACCTCCTCCTCGCCATGTCGCCAGGGCTCCGCGGCGAAGTCGCCTTGTACAACAACCAGTGGATTAGCAAAATCGACTTCTTTAGCTGCTCGGACGACCGCGAACGCTCGCAGTTCATCACGGCCGTACGTACCCCTCGTGCCAACATGGGATCATGACGGTGTGTAGCTGGCGATGGTGTTACGCCCCGAGTGCTTTCCGCCGTCCGAGGCCGTCATTCGCGAAGGCGAGTACAACACGAAAATGTACACATTGTCCTTCATGTCCCATGGAACCGAACGGTTGCCGTAGGTACTTGGTCGAACGCGGGTTCGCCACGCGCGGCAAGGTCATGGTGGGCGCCGGGTCGTTTTTTGGCGAGGTAGGCGTCGGCTCCACAAGCAATAATAGTTTCGGCGATGGACGATATATGCGATGATTCCATTTTTAAATGGTGCGATAGGACATTATCCTCACGTATCGCCAGCGCAACGTGCCCGTGCGCGCGTTCACGTACCTCCACGTTCAAATCCTCACCAAGTTTGACTTGGAGGACATTCTCTCGTCGGGCTTGTACCCCGAAATCCTGCGCAACATTCGCGGCAAAGTGCTCAAAACCGCCTTTAAGAACAACTTTGTGCGCCTGACCGAAAAAATGGCGACCATGAGACGCATGGACACCCTCCGCCAGCTCTCGTGCAGCGTCGCTACCCCGTCGGTGTGCCATATGAACACAAGTCCACACATCGATTGTCTAATACAGTACTACTTCGTAGTCGCCCGAGGCAGCCACCGGTCCTCGCCCGTCCATGCTGTCGCAGCCAACTTCGACCAAGACGGCACAGGCACCTGCGGGTACTCCATGCCGATAATGCTATTATATCTAGAGCATAAGCCATGAACGTCATGTAGACGTCCATGCGGGCAACAATGTCAATGCGGTCGCGACTTGTCCCAAGTCGAGCCGATCGGAGACGCTCTCAGAAATCGGCAACCGCCTCGATATGATCCTCAAGCGTATTGCAGCAGTTGAATCGGCCGTCCTGGGCGACGGCGCCGCCTTGCCATTGCCGCGTCCATTGCCGACGACGTCCGACACCATGTCAATTCGGGGACCACCCGTGCGGGAACACGACCCCAGCCTGTCGTACCGCACGGCAGCCTTCTCGTCGCGGCACCGCGGGTCCTTGGATTTGTCTCTCTTGTGATTTTCTGTACCTTGAATACCATGACTACAACGGCAAACTGTGCACTCTGACGCGTTCTCTTGCTGCTTTGCAGAAGCCTACGGTCGTCGTCATGCGAAAAAAGCTCATGGCGTACGATTAACGCGCAACTTGACCCGTCTTGTACGTTCAAG